GCTGGGGAGCTCTGAGGTGAGCTGGGGTCTCTGAAGTGATCTGGGGTCTCTGCAGTGATCTGGGGGCTCTGCAGTGAGCTGGGGGGCTCTGAGGTGAGCTGGGGGTCTCCACAATGAGCTGGAGCTCTGCAGTGAGCTGGGGCTCTGTAGTGAGCTGGGGGGCTCTGAGGTGAGCTGGGGGGCTCTGAGGTGAGCTGGGGGCTCTGCAGTGAGCTGGGGGCTCTGCAGCAAGCTGGGGGGCTCTGAGGTAACCTGGGGGGCTCCGAGGTGAGCTGGGGGCTCTGCGGTGAGGTGGGGGCTCTGCAGCGAGCTGGGGGGCTCTGAGGTAAGCTGGGGAGCTCCGAGGTGAGCTGGGGGTTCTGCGGTGAGCTGGGGACTCTGCAGTGAGCTGGGTGCTCTGAGGTGAGCTGGGGGGCTCTGCAGTGAGCTGGGGGTTCTGCAGTGAGCTGGGGGGCTCTGAGGTGAGCTGGGGGGCTCTGCGGTGAGCTGAGGGCTCTGCAGTGAGCTGGGGGGCTCCGAGGTAAGCTGGGGGCTCTGCAGTGAGCTGGGGCCCCGAGGTGAGCTGTGGGACTCCGAGGTGAGATGGGGGCTCCAAGGTGAGTTGAGGGGCTCCATGCAGGTGCCTGTCCCACACTCACGTGGCGCTGTCTCTGTTCACTCTGTGCTGACTGTAGCTGAACAGTCAGGACTGGAGTGGGGAAGAAGCAGGGGACGCAGCTCCCAGCATGGAGGGTGGAGAGCCTCTACTGCACCCTAGCAAGGGCGCCTGGGTGCTCTCATCGCTGGCAGGTGTGGTGACAGTCAAGGGCCTTCCCACTAGTGTCAGACCACAGCCCGTGGAATGAATGGACACTGCCCACATTAATGAGGATTACTCATGAGTGACATCCTGACCTAAGAGCGTTCTGCTTTCTGGGCCCTGCAACTAGCCGTGGTGTCCAGAGGGAGAGCCGTCTGCCAGGAGGAGAATTCAAGTGGGATCCAGGCTACCTTGCAACTGCTGGATTCCCAAGCCAGCTGGTGCACGCTGGGTGCTCAGCAGACATTCGAGAAATGAAGGAGAGGTGGAGCAGCTCCTGGTGAAGTGGCTTCGAGTCAGTGTCTGCCACATTGCGAGTTCTGAGGCCCTCACCCTGACAGAGCAGCTCTACTGAAACCGGGGCGGGTCTCAGCACTGCCCAGCAGGGCAATTCCTGCAGCCCACGGAGAACTGCTGATCTCAGTCGCAGGCTCTGAGGCTGCTGGTGTGGGGGCTTAGTTGCTCCTCCTGACCACACACCTACATGACCATCCATTCTGGGAGGAACTGGAGGTTCAGAGAGGTAGGCAGTGCTCCTGAGGCCCACAGCAAACTGGTCCACCTCATGGCCCCAGGCCCACTGGGGGTGGAGGAGCCTCACTCCCACAGCCCGGGAACTCAGCACGCGCCAGCCCCAGGCACATCCAGGTGCTTGCCTTCTGTGGCCCGAGGCGCCCTGTGTGTGCAGGCGTCACTTGTCTCCCATATGGCAGCCTGGTGGGGACGCGGGGGCCAGTGGAGGGGGCAGCAACAGGTCCTGT